AATAATTAATTTGATACTAATATTGATGTATTTATTTTCGAAATTTTATTATATCTTCAAATTTATATTTTATTCAAAAATAAAAGTATGATCTCTTTCTTAAAACCACATAAAAACATATTATAACATTTTGAGATAAAGAATAAAACCTTTTAAAAAACGTATTAAAATCGAGATATATCTCGCTACATTGCACGCGTACCCTTTTAGTTCTATTTAAGTGTTCAAACAATCATTTGTTGAGTTTGTATATTATATTTTTAATTTGTTATTTATTCTTATTGGATCTCAATGGATCATCTTTTCTTTCATATTCTTATTGATCTTCATTTGTCTACTTGTCTATAAAACCTTCATAATCTTCTTTATCATTGATATTTCAATGACCCTCACGATTACTTCATTCACACGAATTCTCTTTTTGTGTCAAAATAACACATATTTCTTGTTGTGAACTAAAAAAATTCTTACTTTTTATAAAAATTTATCAACCATAGTTTTTATACTTTTTGTTTCAAATTACCTAATAAGAAATACGTAAATTGAAGTACTCTCTTATATATCCAATAAAAATAAATAAGATTTCTTTCCTCGGAAAATTATTAGCATTTATTGTACTTAATTTTATACTAATGAAAAACATTTATTCGTACTTGATGAGAGTCACTACAAGAAATAAATATAAAAGAAGATTATAAGTAACATATAATATGTAAATAATATAATATTTTATAGTATTCAATTAGCATAAATGACTATTTTCAAAGTCAAATGCAAACTACAAAAATGATTTCTAAATTTATTAAAGGTTAGATATCATTTTTAGATATTTCACTGAACCTCAAGGACCAAAAATGTAGTTTATTATACAGAGTAAATTACAAAACYGTCCCTTGACTTTGGTCAAACTATAAATGTCGTTATCAACGATTGAGAAATTTTAAAGAACATCATCAAGATTTCATTTTTGTTATACTTTTGGTCTATGATTTATTAAGGTTGTTATTTGTTGCCATTAAATGGGGAGCATTTTAGTCACACCACGTTGTCATGTGCTCCCCACCACATCATTGTAAGTCGGTAACTTCATTCCCCTTCCCATCCTCCGCATGACAACCCTAAATCTTGACAACCCCATCCACATTTGTCATACTTGTGGCACGTTTTCGTCGATAACACGTTGAGACCGAGTCCCCCTGTTTTTGGTTAAAAAGTGGTYGAGTCCAAATGAGATGGAGATAATGATGTGTGATCCATATGTGAAAAAAGATCTATAAAACCCCAAATAAACAATGAGTCAAACTTAAAGATCCAAGATTTAACATTCAAGTAAAACAATAGGATATATATATATATATATATATATATATATATATATAACCTCAAATATCTATTCAAAGCCATATTGGAACCAAGAGTTTATGGAGTCCAGATAAGTCTATATTCAAACACTGTGTGTGTATGTGAAAGAGAGATGAAGAGGTTGTGCCATTGGGGTGATGGAGTATTATTTTTTAAATATTTTTAGTATTATTTTTTTGTTTTTTGCTTTTATTTGATTATTATTAATATAAACATTAATTTTTTATAATAAATTATTATTAGCATGAACACTTCTCTTAATTATTGCATAATGAAGAAAAATAATAATATATGATATATAATAACGTTATATATGATTTACAAAGTAAACTGCAAATTTGGTCCACGTGGTTTGTTGTCTGTAACACTTTTGTTTTTTATAGTTTTGAAATTACAAGCTGACTATTGTGGTATGCAAAAACGATCGGATTTAATCTTTGTCTCTGAAGACTGTTAAAAAACCACGTTAGATGAGAGGTATTTTAGTCTTTTTATACCCTTCTGACATTTTACTTTAAAAAATAAAGATTAATCAATTAAACCAATCCCTCCCCATTTTTACCTCYGGCAACCCAAACCAAAAACTTTTCGGTGTAACTTTTCTGGCCACCGYCACATCCTCTTCTCGAGACAAACCATGAAACACATACTAGTCCATTCACGCTTGTGTCAAAGTTAAACCTAAATCCCTACCTCAGAATCAAACACAAAACCAAAATTAAATCAAACTCAAATCGAAATCACAAATCAAGACTTAAAGGGGGTTTTTGCTTCTAGATTTTTTGTATATTGGTTAAGAAGGCGGGAGAAAAAATAACAAAACCCAACGGCCCAATGTTTAACTTTGAAGCTTTGGCAATAAGGGTTTCGATTTTCAAGCTCCAGCCAAGGGTTTCAATTTCGAGTTTCGCTGGTCTAGGCTCCTCACGACCTGACCCTCGAGCACAACCCATATTTTCTTCTTTACATATCACCATTTTCGACAGAGGAAAGAGTCATCATTGGCCCACACCCCTCATTTATTGGTGCGTAAACAGACGCCGACACATGGTTGCAGAAGGAGACCCTGATTTGTTCTCTTCACCTGGTCCCCTTCAATTTGCTCTTTTTCATCTCTTCATTCAATGAGATGAGCGAGGAAACAAGATTTGTTGGTACAGAACTCATCAAAGTTGCAAATGTTGGCTGGTAGAGGTATCATCGAAGATGTAGGGATGAAGGTATCGAATTTTAAAGAAAAATGACAGAAAATGCAAAAAGCCTAAGATATTCCACACCTAACGGATTTGTTTAACAACCATTAGAGCTATGGATCAAATCCAGTTGTTTTTACATACCACAATGACGAATTTACAATTTCAAAACTGTAAAAACTAAAGGGATGTTTGGATCATCGGAATTTGGTGGAATTGAAAGGAATTGGAATGTCCAATCCTTTGACCAAATTCTAAATAGAGTGTTTGGTTCACATAATTGATGTGAAGGAATCCTTCCAATTCCAACAAATTCCTTAAGTTATTGATTTCACAATTCCACCGCATATACCATGGATTTCAAATTCCAATCCGACAAATTCCTTAGCCCTCATCCATTCATCGACGCTATATCTCGATTTGCTTTGTTCTGCTATGCTCGATCTCGTTTAAAACTAATAATGGCAACATGCCAGGTTCGGGCCGGTTATTGGTATCTCCGTCCCCGAAACCGATAACTAAAACCGTACACGTGATTGCCCCGATCCCCATCGGGGATCTTATCGGGGATCCCCATCGGGTCTCCGCGGTTTCCCCGATCCCAGTTGGGGAACCTGTTAAGGTAAAAATCATTTTTTTCCCATTCACCGTTGGTTATAACCGAACCCGAAACCGAAATACGAAACAGATCTAAAAAAATTACAATATGTTAATTTTCACAACTAAAAGTAAATTACAATTTTTTTAAAGATGCAAGTTTAAATGTCTCAAACATAATCGAACCAATTACAAACAATGTATTAGTTTACAATATAAAATTAAACAAAACTTCAAACATCATACAACTAAAATCACGATTTCACAATTAAACAAATAAACTACACTTTTTTCGTGAGCCTTATTTGGGTTCTTGAAGTAAAGTGGAAAAAAGTTTTTAAATTTTAATGTTATTATTTTCTTTTAATGATATTATATCTATACTATATTATAAAGCATTTGGCTAAAACTCTTAAAAACTCTTAAACTCTTAAAGACAACATCTATTGCTAATGGTACAACCTGTTAAAGCCATCCCTAAACCCGTTCATCCCTAAACAATTTCATCCATATCCGATTTCATCCATATCCTATTTCATCAAATACAGATTAAACATCTCATTTTAAATATAAAAAATATAAAATATAATTAGGATAATTATTGAATTCTAACAGAATACTTAATTATTATCTTTATAAAATTTATAATATTAAACCAAAAATAAATTATTTC